CTGTAATCGGTGCATTGTTTCGCAATCTTACTTCCTTAGTCTAGTCGAAGATATGAAGACTAGGATGGTGTAGCGTTTTATATGGTTGTGGTTTTCTTTCGACGTATAGAAGTGGTCTGACCTTGTTTTTGCAACTGGGTCATACTGGTAGGAAGACCTAGAGGAACACACTTTGTCCTGAGTCTGTAGTATGAATGATAGTCTCCCGAGTCGGACCGTGGCATTTTTACATTCCCGGACGTTTTGCTGTCCATAATCCAACTATTGAATTCATCATGCAAACTAGTTGCGTTTCTCTAGATCCTCCTGCCAATATGGCCAAGTTTTGGAGGCAAGGTCAAACAATTTCTGTGCCAATTTCAAAGTTAGTATATTTTACATCATAATAACTATCTACTGAATAATTTATTTAAGTAGTATGATATGACTTAATTTATCTTTTTTTACTCTATTTAATTCATTTATAATGTTCATCTTCTCTCTTTCCAATTTTCCCTCCCTCCTTTGAATCATTTCAGATGTTAAAAACCTATGCTTATCGGCAGGGATTTGCAAAACTTTAGAGTCTCACCAAAAATTTCATCCTGTTATCACAATAGTGCCCACAGATGAGCCCGTGGATTGGCTACGCTGGCTTCACACCGTCGGTGGTTGCCGACCGCCAGCAAGTAAGTCGGCTGGTCTTGTACAGTCCAATGTTAATGTCATCGTCGATATGGATTTGACGACTGAGCATCATAATGAGGCATTGAACACAATTGAGGCTGCTTTTAATGGCAATTCCAACAATGAGAGATCAGACTTGACCACATCAAATTTAACTGAAGTAAAGTCTGGCTTGAACCATAATGCAGATGAGGGACCACGCCTGGATTTGCCGCCACCAGATGACAGTCTTCCTATGACGGGGCTAGCACAGCTGCGTACTAGTGGCTTCGTCGTTTACCCAGCTGCTTCTGCTTGCCATATTCATTTGGGTCATGAGGCTCTTGTCACAAATCTCCATAGGTCAGGCCAGGCTGACGGTGAGACCATCGCCCAGGGCATGATCTCTTGCGAGGGTTTGCGTCTAGAGCTATAATTGTTAATCTCCATTCTGTTCTCCTTACAGTCTCATAGTTTGCTCTTATCCATCCTATTTCTTGAATTGCATCCGTTAACTTATTAGATAACCTGCAATTACGCATAACAAACAGCTCTATCATCAAGCATAGCACTCTGTTACGGTGTTTTCATTCTTGGCTCGATCGTATTTTCCAAGCTTTACTTATGATTCCAGTTGGACTTAGCTTACTTCTGGTTCCTTGCCTTTTCCTTATCTATGAACTACTGGCGCCGACTACAAGGGTCGTAATTTATACGAGTTAAATATAACTATCCTCGCCAAATTTCACACTTTGTATCTTTTCGCTTTTAGGATTTTCGTCCAGTATACTTAGCTTCTTTTCTTTCTTCCTTAATTCCGCTTCTTCAATCTTGGCTACAATGGTCTCTTTGGTTGCATCACCAATCGGTCGATAAACTCTTACCCAACGGAATAGTTGGATTTGTTTCATTTGAGTCGCAGCTTTTCTCATGCTTCTACATACCATAGGCCTGGAAATTATCCGGTTTCGTATCACCTCCTCTAGCTATACTCTAGCCATTGGAACATGAACCCGATTATCCTGTGCAACACACTCTGCATATATTTTACTGTGACTGCGCAGGCTGTAGAGGCTAGTAAATGAGCTGAAATTTGAGTTCTGTGGGCTGAATCAGCTGTCTTCGAAGATTCGATGCTGTCTAAAGGTGCTTGAATTAGGAAAAAAGGGTACTATTTAAGTTAAAGTGCTATCTCGTGACTTCATGTCATATCATGCTGCCAATTTTTTCTTTTATATAATTGTAGCTCCTCGTTTCCACCTCGTACCATATCCACCTAGCTACATTGTCAATCTCTAGGTCATCTTGCTTTTGCTTCCGAAACAAATTCAAGCACCAACGAACGATGTTTTTCTAACATTTATTCGTTATTTTGCGCACTTTTCGCATCAGACACACTACTTGCCTCCTCACTGACCCCACTGTATGCGAAATCATATGAATCCTTCAATGCTAGTTCCCTCTGCCTCTACCACTCACTCTCATATATTCTCTTCATTGCCTTACCATCAGTCGATCGGATACTCTTCATTCAATCTAACTTCAGTATCGTCTTCGCTTTCTATCACTTGTATCCAGGTCAACTTTCATACTGCCAAATCAACATTTTGGACTGTCTCCACTGTTCTCGTTCTCTTTACTCTTCTATTCAACAATCTTTAAAAATGTTTCCCTTGAACCAAAATACATAACCTAGTACTCCTTTCGTAATGCAGATACAGGTTTATGATCCTGTGCTTAAGAATTCTTCACTTCTGGATAATG